CAAGTCTAACAAAAAGTTTTGGATGACATCAGTTTTATTTGAAGACTATGTAAGAAAATTGGGTCGGAAATTCTTCGCTAAAAAAAGAAAAGTGATTCTCTTTATGGATAAATGCACAGCGCATAGTGATCTACCTAATTTGAAAGCAGTAAACTTGCAGTTTCTCCCGTCAAACACAACAGCAAAGTTGCAGCCGATGGACCAGGGTATCATAAAGTGCTTAAACAGTCTTATCGTAAATGGCTTGTCAGAAAAATGATCTTAAATATTGTAAGCATTTAGAAGATTTGTAATTAATAAGCATTAATTAAATAATCCGACATATTTTGAAAGTCCAAAACCTAAACTAACGGTAAGTCGAACTTCCGATAGGTCGAAGTTTTTCGTCAGTCCCATCAGATTCGAGTTATCGCGAATTCACTGTATTTATTTGAATTTCTGAACAATAAGCCACTTTGCTTGATAATGTAAAAATTTCATTTACTTTAAAGCATTATATTATATAAGTGGAAAAAGTCCGCATACATGATTGTTTAAAAATAACTTCCCTTTCTGAAAACTCTTCAGGCATGAACGAAGTAAACAAAATAGATATGAACCAAAAAATTTGAAATTGAAAACAAGAGATGAAAAATAAATACAGTTATAAAAGGAAACTAGGAAAACCGAGGTAACCTGAGAGAGACTATTTAGAGCAGGCTTCATTTTCAAACACTATCATATCTCCTTTATTTTCCATTTTATCGTTACCAGCTTTTAATAATTCAAATCTGTTTCATTTTCTCATTCATATCTGGCAAATCTTGGGAATAATTGCTTATGTTTTCATGCTCAAATTCTAACTTTTTCCACTTCTATCATTTCGACGCTAATGATGTTTATATAATCAAAGATATCTTTCCGCTTTATTTTCTTGGGATCATTCATTAAATAAATCACTTCAAGTATCTCAATATAAATTTATATGTAAAGATTATTTAACAAAAATTCTTTAATGAAACAGGTGTAAAAATATAATTGTAATTTTTAAGTATGTGCCTATTAGTTTATACATGAACTAGGTGGGGGTTCACCCTTGAAACAGGGTCAACCTATTCTCAGGGAAATTTTCCCTTAACTCTGAATTTTTTTTTTTTTTTTAATTTTAGCAATTAGCTACATTGTTTGTTATATTCATTTCAACTGCATTTTTTTCAAAACCAGACTATCTATGAAGTAATAAGATAATGAAAATTTTTGGTACAGTCATAAAAAAAAGCTTTTGTTCAATACCATGAATATACTAGCCTTGGCTCAATGAACAATTTTAATGTAAAAGAATAAAAATTTTAATTTCGATATTTTCTTCAGTATTTAGGTATAAATTCTTAATGTATATGTGTAAATTTTTATGCTAGTTTTAGTCTTGACAATTTGCAAAATATTTTAATTTTACTCTGGAAATATCAGGGATTAGTGGCTCTTTTAATGTAAGGTGTGTGCATACTTATTGCAAAAGATTTTAGCTTTAACTAATAAAGTTCTTAATATTTAGTTTGGTTTGTTTCACACTTGATGTAACTAGATACTAAAACTTTTAAATGCATTTTTTTAATTATACTATTGAGTTACAAATATTGTATTACATTTTTGATCGACTACGGTATTAGCATTCTATTTTTATTTTCTTTCTTTCCAGTGAAACCAGTGCCTTTCCTGCTTTAGCAAATCGTGGGCAACCTGCCACTGTAAATAATAAAAGTAAAAATGTCCGAGCCAAAAAAGAAGAGGTTAAAACTAATTTTTTTTTAAATTATTCTCTTTAATAGTGCCTTGTAGGAATTTTGATTAATAATTGGAATATTTTCTATTTAGGATGCTGTGACAAGATTATTTGGATCTCACCACAAGCCCACCGATGAGTTTACCAAGTGGTGCACAGATGCTCTTTCGTCTATGCCCTCTTCTGTTGATGGTAAATATCATTCATTCTTGTGCTTGGTTGATAGTCAGTATAGTAATGAATTTTAAGTCATATTTTTATTTTTTACTTTTTAGTTCCCACTTTTGTTGCATTTTTGAAAGATATAGAATCTCCATATGAGGTACGTATGTATTGTTTAGTTAGTGTATGTATTATTTGTAGCTAGAATATGTTATGTTCCTAAGAATGTAAAAAAAAAAAAAAATATTAATATTTAACTAATGAAGTTGAGGAAAAAAACTTGGTATAATGATTGCTTAACACAACTATTTTTTCTCCCACAAGAACACAGTTATTAAGTCAAGAGCCTGGTTCACTCAAATGATAAGTTAAATCTACCTTTTTCTTCTCTTCCTCTAAGTGAATAGGATTTAGATATAAGAAAATAAGCAACTTGTTTTCTACATTTTTTTTTTAAAACTTCAGCTTTTCTTTCAGTTTAAAAAATTCATGTTAAAGTAAAATAACTTGGTGAAGATTATCGCTTATTTTTAATCTTGCTAAAAATTTTAAAAAAAGAATGATAAAAGCATTTTTGCTAGTCTGAAAAAATAAAAATTTTTAATCAAAAGTTGTTTTTTTTTTTTTTTTTTTTTTTTTTTTTTTTTTTTTTTTTTTTTTTTTTNTTTTTTTTTTTTTCCTTTAAAATTGTTAATTTTTTAACACACTTGCTCCGTGTCATTTTTATTGATGCATCAATTTAAGAATTTTTTTAAAGAAATTATTTATTCTTAATAAAAACTTATTTACTATGTTTAAGTGATTTTTTTCAAGTGCCTTAATTACTTTAATGAGAATTTTAGCTAATGTATTTTGTTACTGTGTGTATTATTTTATTGATCTGAATAGTCTGGAAAACTAAAGTAATATTTTTATTCAGATAATTATAAAACCTAAAACATAAGTAAAAACTTGAAATCTTTGACAAATTGTTCTTTATACAATTAGATTAATTAAGCACACACAGAATTTAATAAAAAAGATGAACAGGGGTGTTATATTATAATGCAATTACACATTTAAATGGAATTGTGAAGGTTATTACTTAAACATGGCCCAAAATTTCTACTTGTCATTGACAATCAAATATTTAGGATTGGTTTATAAGTGGTGCCTTGAAAAATATTTTGTTTAAATCAAACTACTGTATTTTCCTGAAAGTTTGTTGCAGACAAATATTAAAAATGGGCAGCAAGAGCATCAGACTTTAAGAGGGATATTAACATGTGCAAATACACACATCACAAAAGGGCTGACATCTGTGTGTTTTTACCCAAAGAAACTCTTGAAGTTGGGATAGAATATATAAAGAAACTTTTTTTGTATTTAAATCTAATTATCTTTAACCTGCCGTTAGTCGCGCGCACCTCACAGGTGCATCCCTACTGCACTTCCACCTCCTTTGCCGTCAATAGATTTTTCCGGGGGTCGAGCCTAATGTTATCTTCCTAACTTTGGATTACTCAAATGTCCGTGTAAAACCGACCTTCGAACATGTCGATGGAGAGTTGGAACCGCTCAAATCACCCCTCTGGTGCAGCGCGACCATTGACGCAAGTATTATGGATATAATATTTTTATGAATTAAACACATATATTTTATCTCATTTTCTGTCCTTCTCAACGTAGCAGGTATAAATGGTCAAGATATATACACAGAAAATGGTTACGGAGTAAAAAACCGCAGAACCTTCTTGCGTCAATTGGTTGAACATCTTGTGATGGAGGAAGAGATCCGACGCGGGAGAAAGAAAAATTTATCTTCGGTACCTCGCTAAATAAGTTTTTTGATATTTATCTCTCTAAAGAGTCTTAAATTGGTAACAATTAACTATTTAAACTAGACTAAATTTCATTTGGCTTTCAAAAAATCAGAAACACCTCATAGGTGCAACGCGATTAACCATGTCGGAAACAAGTGCGCGACTAACGGAAGGTTAATAAACAAGTGAATGCTGTGTTAGCAAAGTGGGCAGAATTTAAGTTTATGTTTTCCTCACTAATATGGACTCTGGTGGAGAATTTTAAGAGTGTTCAACAAATTTCCTTAAATTAGCTCCAGTTCATAATATTTCATGATATTTAAAAGTTTACAGCTTCTACATTATTTTATTGCTTTTGGCCACAAAAAGTTCTTTAAGCTAAATTTATCAAAATTTTAAAAATCTTCAGATTCTTCATGAAAATACAGGGTTTCCATGTATCAGGGGAATTGTCTTGGTATTTTATTTTAATTCTAAAAAGCAGGGAATAGTCAGGAAAAGTTGTGATTTTTTACAAAAACCTTGAAAATTCTTATATTATATCTGGAAAATAACAAGTCTTAGAATTGTTAGTAAAAGTAATCAGTTATTGAAATTAGAGTTAAACAATTCTATCTATTATAATTATTTGTTATAAAAATTTCACATTTTAGTCAAACTGATATGTTTCTATCCTCATTCAATATTTTTTTGCCCATGAAATCTAATTTTGATATTACAACTTTTCACAAAACCAATATTTTCTAATGAAAAATTGCAAGGTATGGATAAAATATGGTCTGGATTTTCCTCGAAATTTACCTTATATACCTGGAAATGTCAGGGAATGTTTTTTCTGAAATTGAGTGGGAGTCCTCAAATAGTGGCAAGTAAAAATTTTTGTTTTGCAAACACCTTTAAAACCTAAATTCCATGCCTTGTCTTTAAATATCTATATACATAAGTGGGTCACGTTCATTTATTTCGCATATTATTTTTATAAGTAATAAGATAAGATTAATTTGATAAATAATAGTAAGATCTGTGCAATTTCATACTTTTTTTATGCATTAATTTTTATTTTGACAAAAAAAGAAACTATTTTGACCTTGACAAGAACTTAATAATAAGACAAGACCTAAATTTTACCTTTGGTGTAAAAGAAAATCCATTGAAAAGTTCGTTATTCACAACTTCAGCCTCATATGTTAATTATGTATTGCATAAATTGTAATTTTTAATGTTGTATTACCTTAAACACAATTGATAAATAATAGTTTATTTGATCTATTTGTTGAAAAAGTTAAGTTAATGTTGGCATATGTTTATAATTCCTGATTTAAACCGGACTCTTGCTATTTATATTTAGGTTTATGATTATGTAAAATCTTATCTTGGAGAAGGCAAGGAACCAAGAGAATTTGCCAAACAGTTTATTGAAAAGCGAAGTAAATATCGTAACCAAACAAAGCAAGCTCCAACTGAGGTGAAGTATTTTTTATTTAGATTCGATGATATATTTTTGTTGGAAATTAATTCCTTATAAATGTTACTTCAAATTTTTTAATTAATTCGAATATTAAATATATATATATATATTTTTAATTGAAATACAACAGCTAATATTGTAAAATTAGCTGGGTTTTTTTTTTTTTTTTTACCAAATAAGTTTTTATGTGCTACTATTAATTGCTTCAGTTATATAAATGACTATTTCTTGCATTTTATTTATTTGATAAGTATATTTAGTTTAAATTTATTATTGATATAAATAATATTGATATATTATTGATAAAATTATTTACTGATATAAATCAGTTTTGATATGCTACTATTAAGTGCTTCAGTTATTATAAAGGACTACTTCTAGCATTTTAATTACTAGATATTTGATTTAAATTTATGGCAGAACATGCGTAAACATAATTCTTTCATAGTTATTGACAACCAAAATGATCATTTATGAATTGGATATGGGAAGTCTTAGAGAATATTGAGCATTTTCAAAACATCATGATTCTTTAAAACTGTTAAATTGATGATTGAAAATCATGTGACACAAGATATGTCATTGACAATTTTTCTATTTAGCTACCCAATATTTGTGCTGCAGTTTATGATCAATAGACAATTGTCCAAATCAGCGATTTAAAAATCACTTAGCATTGTGATTTGTCAACAAAACCTCTATCCTTCATAAAAATAAAAAGGAAAATATAAGTTTGCAGCAGAGTATCATGCAGCTTTTCCCAATAGTTTGTAGTACGACTCATTATTGAGAATTTGGAAATAATTTTTTTTTTTTTTTTAATTTTTTTAATGGCGGGCACTTGGGGGTTGTCCCATTGACCACAGAACTGCTACTCTCTTCTCGTTACCCAGTGGGCACCTGTGGCGAAGCCACGGCAGTGGAGCAGTGTCTCCCACGTCACACAACCACAAACCCGGGTCACATTCACGCAATCACACAAAGGAGAAAGGACATAGAACACAGAGAGAAAGAAACATCCATGCCCTGAGCAGGATTCGAACCCGCAACCAGCGGTTCCGCAGTCAGTCACCAGGTCGGCATTTTAAAAAATAATTATAGCAAAGTCAAATGTGTGTTATTTATTTTTTAATTCAGTTTTGCTTTTTGCATAGCATGTATGAAAAATAAAATTTCTATTTTTCTTAAATATTTGTTTCCCAGTACAATTTTAAAAATATAAACAAGTATAATTACAAACTATGAAAGCATGTAAAAAATCTATCTGAATTAAAATTCTATCCATTTTGAGCACAAGAATTTTAGAAAAAATTTTAACTGAACTTTGACTTGCATATAAAGTGCCTATTATCCCTGTAAACAGACAAACCTAGAAGATTCTCAAGAAAATTAATTATCAGTTCCGGAATTTCTTAGAGTATTTTGCTGTGTAATGATCACTTAACATGACTGTGTTTCAATCTATTTTAAAACATTAAAATTTTGTTGAAAATTAAAATTTTGTTTTTTGATCCTTATAAAAACTTATCCTTATTGACTTACACTTATTCTTAAACTCATTTAATCTTATAAAAACTTTCATTTATTTTATTTTATTAAATATTTCTAACTAATAATTTTATATGTATTTTTATTAAACATGCATTTTTTTATTGAGTCTAATTTTATGAAACTTAAAGATTATAAAATCATTTTTGTAAATTACTTCACATTTAAAGCTTTAATAAAATTAATGATGAGTTTATAGATCAAAAATTTTTAATTCTTAAGTGTGAAATAATGTGAACAATTTTAGATTGAAATTTATTACAAATTTAAAGAATAAATTGTGCATTTATTAATTAATTCTTAATGCTATGCATATATATCTATTTAAATTACTATTAGAATTTTCTCTTACAAAAAAGTAAGATGTTTTTGAGGTTGACAGATGTTAAGAAAAAATGAGATTATGTTTTGCTCCAAAAATAGCCTCATTTACACTTTATAAAATCATCCTCAAATGTACTTATTTGATTGAAGTACAAAAAAAAATAGCTTATATACCTCAAAAATAACCTCTCTAATCTGATTGCTCTAAAGTAGGTTTCTACCAACCTCAAGTGTGAATAAAACAACTTAAAGCACTTTGATAGGTTGATCTTTTAACGTTCTTTTTGAAGTCAACTTAAAATAGACATTAAATCAACCTTGATACCTCAAAAACACCTTAAATTTTTGTAAGGGTTACTCCATGAATCTCAATGAATTTGTGTTTGCCTGGAGAATAGTCACCCTTTGCATACAATTAAAAAAAAAAATTTCATTAATTATTCACCAAAATTGACAATTTGAATTTTTTCTACTTTTTAGGAAAATACTCTTTGGGGACCAGCACCTGCCATCACGCCCACTGTAAATAAAACTCCTGTACAAACTTCTAACGACTGTGATGGCAATTCCAATGCCAAAAGTAGAGCAAAGAAAAAGAAGAACAGGATGCAAAAGCTGGACAGCTCAATGCTCGGCTTCACCGTTCAATCAAATCCCGACCGAGTGAATGTTGGAGAAATCGATCACATTGAAGGGAATTAAAACTCGTTTGTTTGCTCTGGTGCTGCAAGTGTTTCATCTTCGTTAAAGCTGAAGGAGAAAAACAATTTCGGTCGACAAAAAAAAAAATTATGTGATATATAAATATATATTTAACAAATTTAAATTAACCAGCCATCATCTTGTGATATAAAATATCATTGTACAGTATTCAATAATAATAAAAGGTCGCTAAAAGTGTCACTGCCAATGGAAAACTGTTTTCCTTTAAATCTATTAAATTTATACAATAAAAATAATTGTATGGACACTTCATAGACAGATGACATTAAAAGTCTAATTGTATGACCCTTTGATCAAAGTGTTAACTTTGATACAAGTTGTGTAGACATTGTAAATAAACTTGTAAATGGCAGCAAAACTACTGATTGCTTTCTGATTGGAGAGAATAATCATTATCTAATGAAAGTAATCATAATAATGAAATTTTAATCTAATATAATTTTTGTACAATATGTAAATTACTATACATAACTGATATGACTAAATAATGTCAACAGCTTCTAAATAAAAATGTTTCACTTGCTTTTAATTTCTTTGTTTTATTTATTTCCTTACACAAATAAGAATTTCTCTACTGGTTGGTATTATGCATCTGTTGCTAATGACCAGGATTTGAATCCATACCATTTGTGTTCCTGTAGAATTTGCTCAACAGTAAATAACTGTTATCCTGAAGCAACAGTACTCTTTTTATTCCCCGCTTAATATTTTTCTGTTCAGTTTTATTTTTGCCTCACTATAGTTGTCATAAAGGTATTGAAATTAGCAGCCGTTAGTCTTATTTTACACTTAAAAATTTTGACAAGGTGGCAATAATTTTATAGATTTATCATTTTTTATGTATATCATCTAAATGAATGGTAATTTACAAACTTTAATTGTTGCAAAAAATTTCATTATCAGATATTTTTTTAATTCTATAATATTTGTGTTTTTCTTTGCAACTACCAATGTTCAACTCCGTAGCCTTGTAGTTTTGACCCCAATCCAGAAAATATGGCTCCAGAATCAAGTATTGGGAGAAATTTTGCCTTACTGGAGGGCTCATAGATTGAACTAACCCTCATTTGCGTTACATCGAGAAGAAAACCTCCCACGGTTAGTCTGACGGCAGACTCTAACCCATGATCCGTCTACCACTGACGATATTTAACGTCAGCACTGTGGTCGCTGCGATGCGGACCACAACTTCACAGTCTGTTTTACTGCACCCTTGTGGCACGATGAGGAAGTACTTTGTACTTTTTTATTCACGTCGCACAAGAGCTGCTCAATGGGCTATTGACGGCCGTCTGGGAAACATTCATACGTCACATCCCAGGAGACATATTCATACACCATCCATCCAACAATATATCGTAATTTTAAAAGACCTTCTTAACACAGTATTGACAGATCCTGATTATAGGATCTCAGTGTTTTCACTACAACGCGAGAATCTCGCATATTTTTTTCTTTTCTCGCATTAAAAAATTATTACTGCGAGAAATTCGCGCTTTCTATAAATCAATTTCAAAATTCGCGAATTTCTCGCATTTTGGAAAAAGTTTCGAATTACGCCATTTAGAATAAGATCCGTTTCACTTTTCTTCCTGGATCTTTCATTATTTTCAACATCTGCGCCCGTTATCTATCTTCCCTATTTACCAGTATTGTTCAGAACCTTTTCGAACAACGGAACACAACCACGGAACCCCTTTCAGAACACATTTCCCTGCAACCACGTGTTTACCGAAGGTAAGGTTTCTTCATGTTAAGACGTTAAAATTTTTTATACACTTAACTACGTAAGATGGACAAATACCTTGTCAAGGCAAAATCTTCTATGACGATGCACCAAAAATATTCAATGCTTTAAGAAATAGAAGACGTTAAAAATGTATTATAATTAAAGAAATTTTTTTTTCAAGAGTTTCTGTGTTTTTTTAGTTTTTAGAAATCTCACTTAACTTTTTGAAATCTCACCCAGTTTTTGAGAAAGAGTGAGAAATTCTCACCCATTTTTTTCTATGATGAAAACACTGGATCAGGAGTTGCACTTGCCCAGGAACCCCAAATTTTTAATCAAAATGTAAGCTCTACGATTTTTTTAATCTGAAAATGTTAGGATCCTTTAATCAGTATTTGCCCAGGGCCTCAGCTTCTCATAATTGGACCCGGAGTACTGATCCTTAGAATATGGTGGTATTGAAATAGGCCAGGGCGTTGCTCTTGTGCCTCAGCGATCATGGGGGCCCCTGAATGATGGAAACACATTTCAAAATAAAGATATTTTAAAAAACTATTCTTTTTTAAAAAGAAAATATAAAGTAAAAACAAATTAAAAAAAACTTTTTATTTTGTTGTCGTAAGTTATTCCACTTCCTTGATATATTTTTTTAAATATAATTTTGGTTGCTTTGAAAACAATGGCTAATTGGTATCCCTGAATGATATTCAAACTTGGCCAACAAAAATGTATGCCCGAGTGGGAATTTTTTATGTTCTTGTAGAAAACAATTACTTAAACGTGAGATTTTATAATAATCAGAAATTGCAATAAAAATATTAGGAAAATTGATGATTTCATAATCAGTTAAAGCTCTAAATTACAATGCTCAACAGGGGGGCCTCTTTTTTTTTCAACTTTTTATTTCATAGCAAAACGTTATACTGTTATATATTATAAACGTTATCCACCTGGATAGTACAGATAAATGTTTTTTTTTTCGAAGCTATCTTTTGTATGAAGTATTGGCTTGAAATTTTGATTAAAAATTATTTTATCTGGGTTGTAACGGTCAAATAACTAGGTTTAAAAAATGCCTTTTCCATTAAAAACTTACTTTTAGTCCATAAAATTCAAGTAAAATGTCTTTGAGGGAATAGATATGCTTCCTGTGGAAATTGACACGGAGCTCAAATTCGGTACTTCTCTCACTTGGTCAATAATGCTAGTCTAACGATTCAGGACCCACAGTATGTAAATGCAACCACCTAGGGTTGCTCCACTATCTCAAAAAGGAATAAAACTAATTGTAAAATCTACAGTTTTAGTTAAATTAAATCACTATTCTCTGGCAAAATAGTCACAAATTGGGATTTTGATTAAAACTGCGATAGAGCTTGTAGGGAAAGTAATATTGGCCTAATAATGCCATCTTAAGCATCACAGAAGCACACTCATAAAACTGCTACTGTAAACAACTTCACAGTCTGTTTTACTGCACCCTTATGGCACGATGAGGAAGTACTTTGTACTTTTTTATTCACGTCGCACAAGAGCTGCTCAATGGGCTATTGACGGCGGTCTGGGAAACATTACTGAGGATGATCCGGAAACAACATTCATACGTCACATCCCAGGAGACATATTCACACACCATCCATCCAACACTATATCGTAATTTTAAAAGACCTTCTTAACACAGTATTGACAGATCCTGATTATAGGATCAGGAGTTACACTTGCCCAGGAACCCCAAATTTCATGTGACCTCACACACTAATATTTAAAAGAGTTTAATTTTTCACTTTATTTAAGGTTGTGCCTTGCTGATTCATTAAACTGATACAATAGTCTAATTTTTACTCAAAATGACGTATGAAAGCTTGTGAAATTTTTAATCAAAATGTAAGCTCTACAAGTTTTTTAATCTGAAATCAGCTTCTCATAATCGGACCCTGAGTACTGACCCTTAGAATATGGTGGTATTGAAATAGATGCTGGAGTGTTTTTCATGTTGAATCATGATTGCGTATTCCTTCGCTTCAACTGTGGAATGTTATTTATCGATTGTAATGATGAACATTCTCAACCTCGCTTAAACAAGCGATAGGAATCATCATGGACAGAAGAACATTTTCTGAGAGGGTGAAATACGCATTCGTATGTATTAATAGATTATGGTGGGGAAATCCGTTGATTATTTAAACTTCAAACGATCACAAACACTCGTCCAGAATCATTTGCTGGGGAAGACGGCACCCTTATATTATGTAATGAATGAATATCAAATTTTCTAGAGAACTTTTTGAGATTCTTAACTGTTAGGTACATTCTTAGAATTCTGTTTGCTCCGCTGAACCAGTGTTCGTAGAGGGAATAGCTATCGAGCCTTAGCCAAATTGAATGGCTTCATATACCAGGACTTGGCAAACAAAGATTCCAAGTATCAGGAAAGAGTTCCTCAGAATGTTATTGAGTTTTCTTAGGTCATCACGACTGAAGTAAGTAACATTTAAATTGCGCACCTGGCGGACTTGATGTATTTTTGTCAACGCGCGAGAAGATATGTAGTTCCAATGTTCCATGTTTATAGCCTTCCGCCCATTTCAAAATATTTAGCAATAAAACATACATCACTCCTTAGTTACCTCAGATAAGTACGCATTTCGTTCACACAACCAATTATGTTTCTTCTTGCCATTCCCATTTTGTCTTCCTGTCTACCGAGATGCACGGAAATAAAACTCTTTTTAAGACGAGGTTTTAAAATATTCTCCTATTCATTTAATAGAATAACATCCCACATTATGCTTGATTTATCATAAGGTTTGAGCAGTCCCCTTAATGTTACAAATAATTTATTTTTGCTTAAGAATTATTTATTAGAATTATGAGTTGACGAAGAATGAAATATATAAGCTTGATGGCTCCCCCAGGGATCCTCAACTATCCCTACCGGACAAACCAATTACATGTAGGATCGACTTAAGTAATATAAATAGCAGTATCCCGGCAAGAAACATAAAGTAAAAAATAACTATCAAAATACGCAATATTTGTTAAGAGTCACCCTAAAATTGTAAAAATAATTTTTTTTCTATGATATCACAAAATTTTGCATTATTTTGAAATTTTGTAATTCACAGAATTTCCTTAGTTCCATGTCAATTATGAGACTAAAGATATAAAGTGACAGTGATAGATAGTTCTAAATATTATTCACGTGAAATTCGTAAAGAATAGTTCATATGTGCTTTTCAATGAAATATTGCACTTGCAGTTCAAAAAAATGACTTACCATTTTTTTAATACAACTTATTTTCAAATCTTTATTCATAATTATCTTTAAAAAATACATTAAAAATATAATAATTGTTTTGATCACAAAAAATATTATAGAATATATAAAATGTTTATTTAAAATTTTTTTAGAATTCTCTAACATATGATATGGATGGGTGGTCAAATGTAAACAATAACAAGCGTCCTTAAACCGGAAGAAATTTAGAAAATTTCCGGTGTATTCCTCCGCTTATGTTATGTCTACGAGGCGATGTGTGAACAAGCCAAATATTCTATGCAGTTTTGTCATTGTAATTTGGGTTCAAATCTAAACATAATTGTACCATTCATAAGAGCTTTCAGAAATGTATTGATTCTCAGAGGTCGAAAGGCCAAAAAAAAAATTTGGAAAGTAAATATCTCACTGTGAATAATTCTTAAGGTGTGCCATGTTTTGTATTTTATCCCTTATTTGGCTACATTTGAATAAAATATCTTTAAAAATATCTTTTTAAGTTAGCCTAATTAGAAAATATTCTAATGATTATAATATTAATATGATAATGCTGAAGTTTAAAGGCTGAAAGAAAGAACTCGGTACATGTGAAATACTGCAAAAGATATGATGCAATAATATGATGGCGCGTTCCTTCAATCTGCGGCGTAAAAATATATCGGAAGCAGTAACCCGGAAGTCTTGAAAGAGCAATTTTACCACTAGCGCCACCACCCTTAGCTTTCAAGATCACCCATCCATAAAATTTTATCCGTTATCTGCAGAAAGTTCCTAATGAAATTTTTGCATGTGGTGTTAATTTAAATGCACCTTATTTTTGAAAATGTTTTACCTCTACTTCAAAAAACATAGCCTACATTTTTAAAATGCAATTCATTTGCCATAAATTTAAAATTAACTTGTAGCTCTAACGACTAATTTCATACATGCCAACATTGGAGAAATAAAATAATGGAGATTTTACTAAACGATCCAACTTTGAGTTTACGACTACTGATGTTCAACTCTGTAGCCTTGTATTTTTTAACCCAATCCAGAAGACAAGGGAACTCCTGGAGCAAGTAGTGGGAGAAATTTGCCTTCATGGAAGACTTTTTTTTATGGAAATAACCAGCATTTGAGTAACATGGAGGGGAAAACCACTTACGGTTAGTCTGACGACAAGGCGACTCTAACTTATGATCCATCTACCACTGAGGATATTTTACTTTCAGCGCTGTGGTCGGTGCAAGCTGGATGCGGAATTAGTATCGGCCAGTCATGGGATTTGAACCTAGGTTCACCTCATTGGAAGGCAAACGCTCTATCCCCTAAGCCATCTTGGCTCGACTTAAATAATTCACATCCAACTTACTGCAGTACTGGCAATAGCATCATCTGTTGAGGAATAAGAGAAGCATTTTTGCCATCAGTGGATATTTTAATACTAATTTTTTTTAAAAAACTTCTTCAACAGATACAGAGAAATTTGTGAATATACAGGTAAACAGGAGATAGTCGTAAAATACAGGAGTCTTTGTTAAAAAAACAGGAGACGTGGCAGGTATGTTATTTAGTCCAAACAAATTAATGACAAAATTTACTTCAATCACTCAGAAAGATGAAATAAAAAAAATTATCAAGTCAAAATTATTTATTTTTATTTTAAAAATGTTTTTGATTGTAAAGAAAAATGACCAAATTTTCATTATATACAAAACTCAAAAAGTATGCACGAGAAGACACACACACAAAAAAAGTATTTATTTCTTCTTCTTAGATTTAGAGCTTTCAATTGGTTCATCTCTGCTTTTCTGCCAATTTAATGGTTTTTGACGAAACATTGGCCAAGGAGGAAGAGTCAACTAGAAATTAAAAAACATCATTATAAAAGGATTTTTTGGAAACAAAATTATCAAAGCTATCTAAAATTATCAAAGTAAGCAAACCTTTTTTTTAGTAAATTTTTTTTCAGTTCATTTTATAAGTGCATTTATTTTCAGTGAATTTCCAATTTTCAGAAAAGAATCTTACCACCACAGATCTTCTTTAATACCTCTATATCAAGCAATCTTTGGTCTTTTCCTTTTCTTATTACATTGTGTAGTATAATTCAAAACTTGTACCACTTTCAGTTAAAAATTCTTAAGTTATGAAAAATATTTCTCTATTATTAACCTAGTTTTGTTGCTGATAAAAGCTATAATCATTTTGAATGGAGAAAACAATTTTTAACCAACACTGACAAGATACACACTCAATTTAAAAAATTCCAAATTTAAATTCACTTAATTCCAAAATTAAAACTAATTAAGCTGGAAAAAAAAAAGATTTAATTCATCAGTATATTAGCAGACAGATTTTTTCCGGGAAATATTCTATTCCGAGACATTTTCACCCACAGGTTTAGTTTAAGTTCTTGAACAAAAATATTTTCAGAAAAAAAAAATAACTTTAGAAAGTATGAAAAATTTAAATTAGACAATAATAATATTGTAGAAAAAAGTGCAGCAAGAGTTAAAATACTTGAATTTTGGATTATTACTTTTTTAAAGAAAATTAAGAATGTGGGTGAATACTTACAGTAACTTTTGCATCCTTGAATTACTAATGGTTCATACTTTGTAAGTAGTTCTAAAATACCGATATTGCAGCATAAAAAGCAGCAGGTGACAGTTATGAATTAATTAATTTATTTTCTTTAATTAAGGAATTGTGTTTAGTACTGATACTTCATAAATTCAGATACAGTTGAATTTGAATTTTGACCAAAGATATACCAGAAAACTAAAACTGTTAGATAATCAGAAGTGCTCTATTATTTATATTCTAAGAGTACAAACATTAAATTATGCATAAAATTATTAAAAATTGATAAGTATTATCATTAAATGAGCTAGAGTAACTCTACTTTGACATTCACAAAACCCTATAAATATTTTAAATAAATAATCCCATGAAACTGAAGTGGTAAGATATTACCTGGTTAAATTACCTTCAAAAATATTTTAAAAGTAAATAACAGTCGACATGCTACAAGTGCTTCAAAAATAGGCGCCTATTTTCAAGACTTGCCAAGAGAGAATGAGAAGAAATAGAGAAATTTTGAGTATTTTCGAAGGGAATGAAGCTTTTAGTAAGGTAATATCTATAATTATTTGTTTTTACGTAATTTAAAAATAGGAAACGGGGATTAATATTCACGCAACTTTAAATAGCATCAATATTATATTGATGACCGTATAGAATCTGTTCTAAAAGTGCTACTAAATCTACTAAAGTGCAAGGAATATTCACTCATATGTTTTAATTTAATTCAAAATGGTTATGAGATAAAGATTAACAGATTAAGATATTACAGATTTTGTTTCTAATTTATAAAAGGATATTACAGATTAAGATTTACTGTAATATCCTTTTATAAATTAGAAACAAAAAATGTCTTTTTTAATATCGGTTCTAGTCTTTTTGCTGGGAAAAAATATTTTTTGTAACCAAATCTGAGATGAAGCAGAAAAAATAGTTTTTTTTCTTAAAAAAGAAAAAAAAAAAAAGCAGAATTTTAACACTAAATTATTGTACAGTTAAAAAAAAAAAAAAAAACAGGAACACCTTTAATTACTTTTGATACATTAATCAGATTTTCATGTACTAGAATTCCATCTTAATTATTCACAAGGTGATCTCAAATATAATATAAATGTGTCAAAAATTTTTTGAATTTGCTGGAAAAATTCTCAATATATAGCAAAATATACAAAAAGGTAAAATTAACATTAAGGGGTCTAACTTTCAATCGCTGTCCTGACCATGCATTTAGGACCATATTTTGGCTGCATTTCTGAGTAAAGTATGCTTTTGTTTCTGAATTTATAATTTGATTGTCTACGCTAATTAATAAGTTTATTCGAGGTCAACCCCGAGAACCAATAAATTTTAGTCCAGGTATATGAAAATCTGATCATCAGATCATAAGTTATACAAGGTGTTTAATTCTTTTGTGCACTGTACATATCATACCAGCCATATTCTTATCATACTCTTCCCTACAATGATTTTTTCAAGTGGTAATGTTGCTTAAACACGCCATCACATGAAAATCATGCATTTCTATACATGCTTAATTCTTTTACATATAAAATCAACTGATTCATGGGAGGGGGTATGCAGCTTCTGTTGTCCAAGACTCTCTCAATCTCTCCCTGGTGACAGGCAAACCAACACCTGCCTATCCCGACTGGCCAGTGGACACCTGAAAAGTCTCACATTTTCTGCAAATCAAAAGATCTTTTTTCTTTGCCCTAAATGCCAACAAAACCAGGCATCACCTGAGCACATCTTGATCTGTTTAGGGCTGGACTGGAACGATATTCATTCCTCTCCCATTCTGGTTTCGGATTTTCTCAATATCAACGGATTCATTGATCTGGTCTGACCCCGTCAGACCAGATGGGAATTAGCAACAACAACATATAAAATCATTTTAGATCAAATGTATAAACCCTAAAACTTAATCAATAAGTATAAGTTTTGTTACCACTTTAAAAAATAGAAAAGGCAGCTGTGACATATTAATATGTTTTTATAGAATACTTACTAAACTTGATAAAAGAAATCCAGCTCCAAGAATATAAACTGTGTATGAAAATTGTTGAAAAGAGTAGCCAACCATTAAGCCAGAAAACTGTAAACAAAAACATTCCTTTCATTAGAATGTTACATGCACGACATGTTTGTGAAAAAAATAAACACAGTACAGTACCTTTTAGAAATTGAAATATTTAAAAAAAAAATTTAACTACTAAAATGAATTGTTTTAATAAATTATATTTCAATAATAATTGAGGAAAAAATTTAAAATGCTGAAAACAGAAATTAAAATTTTTAGTGTTTACAAAAACATTTCTTTCAGCATAGCGTTGCCAGTCTGACAACACGTAACCCTTTTGCAACGGGAAGTGCAAACGCGTGCTTATCGCTGAGGCCGGCAGTCTCTCTCGCGAGTGTCTCTCCAGGGCCAAAGGGTTTTTTGCTGTTAAGCCTAAATCCATGAAATTACCGAAATATCCACGCATAGTTTAATAATGTTCTGTAGAGTATTTAAATGGCATATGCTTCATATATATTTCTATAGATACTTTATTTACTTAAGTTATTTCTTGTTTAAATATATATTTTAAACATTTTATTTTCATCACGTACTTACCATTCAATAACTTTTAACATTATATATCTGAAAACTAAGTATATGACTTAAAATTCTTTTTTCGTATGAAAAAGTTTGAAAACACTAACATTGCACTAAAAACTGGACCGCAAATCGAAATACCCAACGCTGTAGCGAAAAAAAATCAACCTCCTCTGCTTACTGTAAACAAATACCTAGTGCGAATTCAAAGAGCTGTCATAAAACATTTCTTTCTCCTCCACTCCTTCCCCCTAAAAACCACGTGTATGTGAGTCATACTACTATCATTTTGAGTAGAAGGTCAAATCTACATGTATCTGAAACCATATGGACATACAATGCCATCTTCTGGTAGAAATTTTATTTTTTAAAATGTTTCACGACATTGGCGTAAATGAGTGATGGCCGGGGGTGAACGAGAAAACACTTTGGCACACTGGTGTGTCGGTCGGGAAATAAGTGTGTTTCTTGCTGGCATGTATATGTGACAGTCGGCGCGAAAGGGTTAATTCAAAAGTGTTACAAATTACTAGAAATTTAACACTATTTGCTTTTACACATTAATCAATTTGTAAACACTATTCTTTAAACAACAAGAAATAAAGTATGTCTCTTGAATAAGAATACACTGTCTGAGGTCACGGTTGCTAATGTGTTGCACAACTAAAATTTGTAACCGAAATTTTCTGTTCTGCTACGATAATTGAAAAATAGTAGAAATAATAGATGAAAAAAAATGAGTTGATAGTTCTAGCTGGCCTAATCTGCAACACAAAGTACACTGTATAATGCTGAAAGTACCAATGATATAGTAAGTGCTTTAGCTTGTGGCTGTTGCAGTATATCTTGTTGTTATAACTAATAAATAATAACAAGATTAATAACTCTTAAAAATTAGATATAATATTTAACACTAAATATTTAAAAATAAATGGAAGTAATAATATTGAATTTATGAACTGTATAAAAACATAAGTATAAAAAATTCATTTATACTAAAAAAAAATAACATTCACTCAATTTAATAGCTTGTACTTCAATATATAATACAATATGCATTAATTAGTTATACAGGAAAATATGTAGTTTTTCTAGAAACAAACATGGAATCACTTTTTAATAAAAAGTTTATTATTGCGCTTACAACTGCAAGTATTCATAATTAAATAGAAAATTAAAAAGATATCCTAAAAGCTAAATAAAACTAATACTTACAGCAAACAAAAGAATTATTGTTTGAAAAATTCGCTCAGCCTTCTTTTGACCATCAAAATCCTTTAAAAAAGAAAAAAAAACATTAAATATTTTTATGCAGTATGACTTAGATCAATGTGATATAAGTGATTTTTAAAATTAGCCTTGTGTGAGTAACAAAAAAACACACAAGAATAATAATTTTCAATCCAATCAAGCAAACCAAATAAAGGGAAAAAATGTTGGAAATAATCACGCTAAAGGGCTCAAGCTGCTCCCAAATAACATACTTGGGGATATTCATGTATCAGCATCTGTTTGTGTTAAGTATAATCATCAAGAGGCCAAAGAGTTTTTAAACATTGCAAGAAAAAAAATATGTTGGAGTTTGCCCGAAGGTGGCTATGAGTTACAGCTGCTGTAGATATCTATTCAAAAATCTTTCCACATACTGCATCAGCTTTTTGATTAGCAACTGGATTTAAATTAACTGTTAGCAGTCTGTTAGATTTAAATTAACTTTGTGATACACTTTAACATTTTAATTTGTTTTATGCTGGTCAATTCTTTAAAGGTTGGTGCCTTATGTGCTTGTTAAACGCTAGTTAAAAAGTTTTATAATGAAGTGAAGTTGCTTAAGCTTAAGATTAAAAAATGTTTTAGCCTTGAGAAAAACATTTTTCTAAGTGGAGTTATTTTTGTATCAATATCTGTTTGTGCCAACTACAATTCTCAAGGAATTTTCAGTTAGCAAAAATTATAAAAACAAAATAGTACAAGTTAGTCAGAGGTGGTTTTATATTCCATCGGTGGTTGGAAAAACTATAAATAATTTTTTAGCTAACAACAACTACTTTACTAAAAATATAGTTAACTAAAACCTGCTTTTGAATAATTATCACTAATTAATTACTTTTAAAATTTTTTTGGAAGATTTAATTTACACTTATATTCAAAACTAAAAAATATTGAAAGAAAATTTCATAAAAAGGGGTTTAGAGTGGCACTCTTGGATTATTTTTAAAGGAAAAAATATTAAGTAATATAGACTTGTGTTTTGATGAGCTAATTTATTTTTCTAAACCATGTTTTCATCCCTTAACGATCGGTTAACTTAAAAGAAAACGGACATAAAAGTTACTATTTTTTTGGCTTTTGTATTACGTATTTGAAGAGTGCTGAAATCTAGTTTAAAATAAACTAATTATCTACAATTACCTTAAAAAATATCCAGGTACTGCTATCTGGTGTGTAAAATGAGAAATAAAAAAGAAATGAATTAGTTTTATTCTTATTGCCACGTTACTACTGAACACTCCAGCCCGTCAATGTCACGGGAGCGAGAAATAGGGGGCAAAAACTCACCCCGTCATTTTCACAGGAACAAGAAGGAAGGGGTTTTTAAGCCCTATTAGTTTATTAGCCTAAAAGTTTATTAGCCTTTGCAGTTTAGACAACTTGTGTCTCTGCTTTGGGGAAGTTGCCATATCGTGATCTGTGGCAGAATAATCACCAAGTCTTGGAAACTTCCGAGTAGTGGCCCTAGAGAAGCTAAAAAAAAAAAAAAAAATTCACAGAAAGGGACTAATTCAAAAGGTATAACTCGAAGCCACCCCTGGGCAAAATTCTACATGTTTTTTTTTAAAAAAATTTGCACGCTTTAAATCTATCAGGCACCCTGGCGATTGTAGTTAGCGTGGCATATCACGATACGGAAATATTAATAATAATAAAAAAACACAGTTACATGGATATGATCATCATCATGTTAAGCTTTTTTCAAATTAGCCAAAATATGTTTCAGTAATCAAAAAGACAATTGTAAAGATAAAAGATTTATGCATTTTAGAAACTCAGTTAAAAAAGAATATTTTTATGTTTTGTTACTTACAATGCAATAGTTCGGGAATATTTCCATATATCGTAATCTGCCACGCCAACTACAACCAACAAAGGGGCAAATTCCTTTTAAGTAGAACATTTTAAATAAAATCATGTAGAGGTTTCTCTGGGGGTGGCATAGAGTTATACCCTTCGAGTTGGTCCCTTCTTGCGATGTCTTTTTAGTTTCTTATGGGCCGCATCCCGAAAGTTGCCAAGACTTGGCGATTATTCTACCATAGATCACGATATGTCTTGCATCTACTGAGTTACACCCTTCAAATGGATTTCCTTCTGAGACTCTTTTTTAGTTTCTCACGACTTACTGCCTGCTGGAAGTCACAAAAGCTTGGCGTCTTCCTTTTAAATTTTAAAATTTCTTTCAATGCACTTCTTTAGTTTCTTGCATGCCACTGCTAGTTGTAGCCAAACCACAAAGACCAATTTAGCACAATAAAGAAATTTCCCAAAGTTACTTTTTAGGGGAGATTTCTGTACTGTGATCTGCGGCAGAATAATCGCCGAGTCTTGGAAAGTGTGCCTGCAAGGAACTAAAAATACATCACAGAAAGGGACTAACTCGAAACCACCCTGGGCAAACAGCTACATATTTTTTTTAAAAAAATTGGCAAGTTTAAAATCTATTTGGCGCCTTGGCGACTGTAGTTAGCACGACAGATCACGATACGGAAATATCCCAGTTTTTTATAAGATAAAATTGAGCTCGCATGCAAAAGTTTTATAAATTAGAGTTAAAATGGCTTTCATGTAGAGGCAACATATTTTGTCAAAATATGCCGGAAAATTTAGCATTTATACCAAATTAAAACAGAATGATTTTATCAATTTCATTGGAACAACCTTATTTAAAGCAACATACAATATATATAAACTTGAAGAATTTTCAAACCGGTAGACATAATTGACATGTATAAACAAACATATTTAGATAGAAATCAAGTTAACATTTTTTCCCCAAAGTCATAATACTTTTACCATATGAACAGGAAGACTTTTAAACTTTTCTATGATAGCAGACATTATGATACTTTAAGAATTGATCCAATTTTTAATTCCTTTTAAAGAATTCAAATCCAGCAGAAGAAAAAATTCAGTTTTTGTTTAACACGTATCACAGAAATTGCGGTTGCAGGCAGGTTATTTTTCTGTTGTCAAAGTTACAAATATATTTTTGTGAGAACGAGCTAAGCAGTAGACGCTCTCGTTCGCAATAAAGCTGCTGGTTGAACGGATTGTGTGAGTTTTTTGAGTTTTTAAATGTATTTATTCACTTTTCAAACACCTAAATACATTATATAATTTTTTTCGGATCATCGAGTTGAAGATGAAATTCCAAAGGGATTTAAAGATCGAAAATAATATACGCATTACATAAGTGGCAACAATTTTTCTAAAAAAAAAGGTATTAAAAAAATATTGCGCGCTAAAACAGGCATCAGACATTATTGTCTTACTTTAGACAAAAATATATACACAATTTAATGTTGTAGGAATTATTTTCTCGATTTCAAATATAATTAATTCATGTAAGTATTATTAAATACGTCTTTTCTGATGTGTTTTTGTTAGTTTAAAAGTTTGTTTATATAAACATTGCTTCGTTTGAGTTCTGTTTTCTCCCTCATTTAAAATCACCAGAAAGTTATTATTCTGAAATAAAATACCTTCATCTTGTGTGTGTTTTTGTTTTCGTAAAGAAAAAGTTATAATTTGAGTTCTGTTACGTCTTATTTTATTACGCAGGTATTTAGCTTTTTGCGTTTGTTGGTTTTAACTGCCATGTCAAATAGTAACTATCATAACTTCAAATATAACATTTGCGAAGTAGCATAAACATTGACTTTTTTAAATCACATTGTCTGTAACAAAATTGTTAAATCATGAATATCAAATTTGTGTTAAATATTTGTATCAAATTGGAGTTTGTATTGTATAACTGCTCGCTGATTGTTTAATTGCTGATTTAAAAATAAAAATTATGAGCATAAATTTTATTTATCTTTTTGTAAATCCCATTTAAGATACCGTAATTTTAATTATTGATTTATTTAGAAAATTACATCAGGATCCAAATATTAGGTACTTACGTTAAATAATACTTACCAAATAAATATACAGAAAAATGTTAACAAATTGCCACATTTATAAATTTTAATTCTGTGTGACATAACTTTAATGGTAAAAATTCTTTTTTAGTTTATAAGCACAGAGCTCTTTAATTACAATTGCCCTGTTATTTTTATTTTGCATACTTTATTTTATTGTGTTAATTTTCCTTATTTTATCAATATGGATTTATATTTCTTCATTTAACATTTATAAATTGGTAGCTCTTGAGTTGATGTTCAGAGGTTATTATAGAATTAAATTTTTTTTATTGTTATATTAAGAACAGCAATCTACAATTTTTATTTTCTGAAAACCACAACCGTTTTTGTTTCTTTTCATAAGCTAGTATATTACTAAATAGAATTTATCATATTTAGAATAATCTTTTTCTTCTACTTGGTTAGTCAATTTTTATTTTATTTTTATTTTTTTTTAAGTAGAGAATCCAGTTTCTTGAGTATTCAAAATTTAGAAGAAAATATTACTAAAATTTAAGCTAGAGTTATATTTTTTTAGACTGCAGAATAATGTCGATTTTTGACTGATTAAGATGTTTAGATTAACGTTAAAAGTTACTTTTGAAATTAATATGAGTTGTTGTGCCTTGTTTTAATTTTGTTATGTAATTGAACTGAAGTGAGAATAAATGTAAGTCCATAATATAAAGATAAATGTATATTGTTTTATCAATTTAATGAGTAATGTAGCAAAGCCTTGTTTTTATTATTTTTTTTCATTAAGTAGCATTGTGAGTTATGTTTTAAATCACTCGCTCTATGGCACCAAGGGTGCAGAAAAGTTAGTGCCTTTATAATATTCAAAACTGTTTTCTCCCCCCTTAGTTACAATAATTTTTTAGAAAGTAAAGTTTATTTTCTTTAACAGGAAAAATAAATTTTTATTTTTATACAATTCTTAATTAAATTAGCACAAGTATTAAAAATAATAGAAATCAAAGTATATAGAAATAGTAATAACTTATTTGTAAAGCAAAATTTTTATTTTGCAATCAAAAATTTTGCATCAATTTTTTTATTTATTTACATTAAAAATTTATCCTGGACTGCCATAATTTCTATGATTCTCGATCGCACAAACTGCGCTATTGCCTGGAATTACAGTCCATGGCTTCCTAAGAATAAGTCAGTGTTTTATAATTTTTTTAATAAATATTGCTTAACAATAAAAATACTTTTAGAGAATGAAAGCTGGTAAAGTGTTTTTTATTTATTTATTTTTCAAATTTTGTGATTTTTGTTTTTTGACTTTTAGATAGTAATGGCTCCCCAACTGACATCTGGAGCTATAGACAGAATATTGCAGGGAGAAGATGTGCCAAATGCTGTTCTACAAATACTTGGTTGCAAAAAAATCCCAGGAACTGGTAATGATCGTTATCGTTTACTTATTTCAGATGGAGTTATTGGGTGTCCATTTGCAATGCTCGGCACTCAACTGAACCACATGGTTACCAACAAAGAGTTAGAGAAATTTACGGTTGTTAGAGTTGATAAATGTGTGTGTAATCAGGTTCAACCTGATCGTAAAGTTATCATCTTATTAAATTTGACAGTATTGTGTCCCAGCCATGAAGTCAATGAAAAAATAGGAAATCCTGTAAATGCAACTGCTGCAAATGCAGCCCAACCAGCTCCTTCTACTGGAGCTGCTGCAACAAATGGGAGTGCTAAGCCATCTTATGCAAAGGAACCACAGCATAATGTGTCTGAAACTTCAATGGTTAATGGCACTGCTGTTCACCCAATTTCAAGTTTAACACCATATCAAAATAAATGGACTATTAAAGTTCGAGTCACTAACAAAACACCCTTGCGTACTTATAGTAATGCACGTGGTGAAGGAAAACTGTTTTCTATGAATTTGCTCGATGAAAGTGGGGAAATTAAAGCAACTGCCTTCAATGATGCTGCTGGTAAATATTATGATTTGATTGAAGTTGGCAAAGTGTATTACTTATCTAAAGCTCAGCTAAAAACCGCTGATAAAAGGTACTCATCTCTCAAAAATGAATATGAGTTAACTTTTAACAATGACACTACAGTCATGCCTTGTGAAGAATCCACTTCCATTCCGTCACTTCGATTCGATTTTGTGCCCATCGCCGAGATCGAGCAAGTAGAAAAAGATACGAATATTGACGTGATTGGCGTTTGTAAAAGCTGCACAGATGCTACTACTCTTATTTCAAAGCAAGGAAAGGAATTGGTGAAAAGAGAGGTCAAGCTTGTTGATCGTAGTAATAAGGAGGTTAGTTTAACTTTGTGGGGAAGTGATGCTGAAAAGTTTGATGGAACCTCAAATCCTGTTATAGCAGTCAAAGGTGCTAGAGTATCAGAATTCAATGGCAGAACATTATCTGTAAGCATGAGTAGTTCTATGCAAATAAATCCAGATATAAAGGAAGCTCACATTTTAAAAGGCTGGTTTGAAAGAGAAGGAGCCAATATGGAGGTTCAGTCGATATCTGGTAAAGGACCATCGGGTAGTATGGGCGGAGATTGGAAAACATTTGCCCAAACTGCGAGTGAACAACTTGGCATGGGTGACAAACCTGATTATTATATAAATAAAGCTACCATAGTAATGTTGAGGAAGGAAAATTGTTTATATATGGCTTGTCCTTCACAAGAATGTAATAAAAAAGTTGTTGATATGAATAATGGTGTCTACAGATGTGAAAAATGTAATCGAGAATACAGTGAGTTTCAATGGCGTCTCCTGTTGTCCTTGAGTGTTGCAGATTTTACTGAAAATACATGGGTAACTTGTTTCCAAGAATCTGCAGAAGCTATTTTGGGTGTTTCAGCCCAAGAATTAGGATCATTCAAAGAAAATGATGAAGAAAAATTTAATGAAGTTCTTACTGAGGCAAATTTCAAATCCTATGTCTTCAAGCTTCGCACTAAAATGGAGACATTCAATGAAGAAAGTCGTCTAAAAACAACTGTAGTGACTGTTTCACCAATTGATCCTGTAAGTTATACACGTAAAATATTATCGGATATAAAGAAGTTGGAGCAAGAGATTTAGTTGTGAATTGTTTTAAAGTTAAAGTTTCTGTGAAGATGTTCGGTCAATGAAGAGTGATCTTAAAACCTGACTGTTGCACCAATTTATCCTATAAGTTGTACACATAAAATATCAAATGTTAGGAAGTTGAAGCAAGAAATTTAGTTGGAAATGTTTTAAAATAATAATTTGCTTAAAAGTAAGCAAGGTTTTAGAGTTTAATATATCAACAGTGTTAAATTGTCTGCTACATGAAGATGTTATATGGCTTGTATATAGTTGAATTTTGCAATGAGCATTTAATTTTTTCTTGTTTGTTTACTTAGACTAATGATGCACACAAAATCCATAAACAAATGTTTCTTTTTTCTTTCTAAATCTTATTTTTTGTTTTCTTTTATGTTCTCAAAATAAATAACATTTTTATGTGTATTGAAAAAATCTAGAAATAAATATTTTCTTATGAGAAGATGAGGAATCTTTTATTAAATACAAGTCATTTAATTTTTTTGTTATTTTCAAACAATTTTTTTAAAAATTTTACTGTCTCCATAGAATAAAATAAAGTGCCGCTTTTGTCCTGAAAAGTGTTTTGATATATTTAAACACACAAATTAGTGTGTCTCTGCTTATTTATTTTTTAAGCAAGTTAATTTTCATGAAAGATTGCTCCATCAGTTTGGAAAGGTACTCTCTTTGGAAGCAATTAAAACTAGAAATTCTCTTGGAAACTTGCTATTATCAATTCTGGAAATTTTTGGAGCACACAGTTGGATATGTGTATCTGATTGGCTGTTGAAACATGGCATTTGTTTATGTTAGCAAAGTAAGCCTATCTCATCGAATATGAATTCTCTAAAGTGGCACATTCTATACTTTTCCATATAGAGTGATTTGAATTATTTCTTACTTAACATAAAGGTATGAAGCAATGTAAGACAAACTAATTATGCAAAAAAGTTGTGAAATGCATGAAAAAATCATGGTTACACAAAAATATAATTATATAATAAATCTGTTTGAAATAAAATATTTTAATAAATTTAATATGCGATATGGCAGTGTTTAATATATGGCAGCCAATTTGTTTATAAACAACCAGTTGGAGCTGAGGTCATAGGTCAGGAAATTGTGTATTTGTGTTCTTCTCGAATGAGAGTGTCATTGCAAATGTGTTTTAAACTATTAATAATAACTGAACATATCTTAAATAAATTTATACAGTGGTACTTTAAAAAGTAATTCTAACTTAATAAGTAATTCTTATTAGGTAAGAGGGGGCAGTAGCCCCCTCTGAAATTTTTGTGAGGGGGCAAATAATATGTTTCGCCCCTCCTGAAATGTAAACATTCGAGAAAATAAAATCAAGTTAAATTCCAATTAAAAAATAGTAAAAACGTAAATTTTTAGAAAAAAAAACATTTTAAATTGAACTTTAAAACTATTTTCCTCTGAAATTAAAGTAAGAGGTTATAATAAATATAAAGACAAGGCTCTTTTTCTCAACTCAGAAGCTATTTTTCAAAAAGAAAACTTTATTTTCCTCTGATATTTAATAAAAGGGCGAATAATGCGTTTCGCCCCTTCTGAAATTTAGACATTCAAAAAAATGAAGTCAATTTAAATTAGTAAACTTAGAGGGAAAAAAACCTTTTTTCCCCAACTAAATTGAGGGGGCGAGAGGTAAATTAATTTAATTGAGGGAGCGAATTAATAAATTAATTTCATTTTAATTGAGGGGGCGAATAATGCGTTTCGCCCCTTCTAAAATTTAGACATTCACAAAAATGAAGTCAAATTATATATTAGTAAACTTAGAGGGGAAAAAAAACCTTATTTTTTTCAACTAAATTGAGGGGTTGAATTAATAAATTAATTTAATTTAATTGAGGGGCGAATGATGTGCTTCGCCCCTTCTGAAATTAGCCATTCGTGAAAATAAAGTTGGATTGGTAGTTTTAGAAAAAAAAGGAAATTTTTTAAATTTAAAAATAAATAAATAAAATTATTTTCTTCTGAAATTTAATTGAGGGAGCAAATAGTGTGCTTAGCCCCTTTTGAAATTTAGACATTAGTGACTATAAGGTCAAGCAAAGAAAAAAAAGGAACAATTTCTTTTTCTACTTTAAAATTATTTTCGAAATCAAAATTTTTATTTTACTGCGACTTTAAGTTGAGGGGGCGAACAATGTGCCATTCGTGAAAATAAAGTTAAGTTAAATGAGTAATTTTAGAAAAAAAAACTTTTTTTCAACTTCAAAGTTGTTGTTTTTTTTAAAAGAAAACACTATTTATTCTGAAATTTAATTGAGGGGGCGAATAGTGTACTTAGACCCTTATGAAATTTAGACATTCATGAGAATGAAGCTAAATTAAATTGGTAACTTTTTAAAAAGTCTAATTTTTTTCTATTGTGAAGCTATTTTTAAAATATAAAATTTCATTTTCCTCTGAAATTTAATTGGGTATAATATAGCCTACGTCACAGGTTGTGTTGTTCCTACTAAATTTAACCCATGAACGGCATTTTCTGCGAGCCTAACTTCAAGCCACAAATAAACAAACGAAGTGTTCGATCGTTTAAATAGCTGCTCGCCAGATTTTATTGCATTATAAAGAAAAGTTATTGAAACTAAATACAACTAAGTAAACAACAACAACTAAAACAAATAATAACAACTACTAATAACAATAACTAAATAAACAACAACTAAATTCAATTCGTTTAGCATTGCGTCATATGTTGTTCCTACTAAATCGAAGTAGTTGTGTTTTTTTCATATTATACCCAATTGAAGGTCGGCGAATAATATGCTTCACTCCTTCTGAAATTTAGCCATTCGTGAAAATAATGTCAAGTTAAATTGATAACTTTAGAAAAAAAAACCTTTTTTTCTACTTTTAAGTTATTTTCGAAATCAAAAACTTTATTTAATAGTGAATTAGGGGGCGAATAATGTGCTTCGCCCCTTCTGAAATTTAGCAATTCGTGAAAATAAAATTCAGTTTAATTGGTAATTTTAGAAAAAAGAAATTGTTTTTTTCTTAAGACAAAGACTTTTTTTTACATACGAGTATTTTCTATATACGTAATTAAACGAAAAAAAAAAAACAATTTTAAAAACAAAATACTTCTTGAAAAACGGATTGCATATAAAATATATCAAATGTTTAGAAAACTAAAATAATTTCATTTCTTTTACCCTTCCCTGGAAAGAGTAATAAAAGGCATCCTCCACTGATAAAAATTGGTTTCAAAGAATCCCTTGACCTTCAAGAATTTCCTTTCCACCCACCTTGGCATATAATTCTGGTGGCCAAACCCCCCACAAAGACAGTTATTTGTCTCCTCAAAAACAGCCACCTCATGTTACTCTATGGAAAAAAGTACTTTTGCTTCTGTAATTTTCATTTTTATGCCCCTTTGACCTCTTTTTAAAATGTCAGATATCCACAAAACCATATCTTATTTGGATATCTCTTCATAAATTGTCTCAAACAAGCAATTATCTAGATTTTCTGAGAAAACAGATGTTTTAGGCGGGATCTAAACTGGGGAAGAATCTTGTTGACATTTTTCTCTGGTCATTTTGTGATGAGACTTTTAACGCTCTCTGTTGAATTTTCTTTTTTAGCTCATTTAATTACGTAATTTAAGCTATCGATTTTAAATTAAAGCATATTTTTTTTTATTTTGTTTAATTGCTTTAAATTATTTGGTTGATTTTTGTAGTTGTTTTTTTACATCAGTTTGATAAATTAGTTGCAACAGTTCTTTTTAACCTAAATTGTGTCATCCATCAATAATTCAAATTCTTAATGAAGCTTCTCGTTGAATAACAATAAATTTCGAAAGAGGTAAGCAAATGTTTTCATTCCATTAAATTATTTAATGCTTTAATAATTATGTACTGTTAGAATTGTTTTATATATTTGTTCGTATAGTAAATGTTTTTATTATGTTCGTATATCAAATTCATTTATATAGTGGATTAGGTCATGATTTTACTGTTTATTGTGTATGGATTTTGTTATCAGTTTATATTAGGAATTTTTTTTTTTTTAATTGTAAAATAATATTTCGAATTCTTTTTGCTTTTAACAAGTTTAATTTGATTCAGAAATGAAAATCAACCTTTAATTTTTTTATGATTGATTATGTAGAGCAGAATTCAAACACCAAATCCGTTACACATTTAAATCCGTTACACTATTTTTCTCTCTCATGTCAAATAAATCATTTGAAAAAACCTTTATAGACCAACTATAATTTGCATAAATAATGATAATTTTTATCTTAATACAAAAAAAGTAACTACCATTTACATTTTTAGCAATAAAAATGCAACAAAAAAATTATTCTTAAAAAAAGCTTCGTTAAAAATTTCTATAATATTTTATTATTTTCAGTAATAAAAACTTTAATTAAACAAAGCATATATTTCTAAGAATGGGGCAATTTATTTCCGTAGCATTGGTGAGAAAAAAATTTCAGCGTAATTTTTGTAGTTTTTTTTAATCGTGATTTTATAGGATGGTCAAATTGTGTTAATAACTTTGTGCTAAGTAACATAGTGAAAGCTTTTTTCATGAATAATTTTTTTAAATTTAAAGTATTAATTTTTTTAAATTTTAATGCTGAAATTATAAATACTGCTGATAGAGGATAAAGAATTGATCCGATCAATACTGTTGTAATTTAACATTTCTTAAAAATGTGAATATTTCTCTTTATCTATTGAATATTTAAATATTTTTATTTTCCGTTTCCAATTTCGATTTAAATCCTGATAAATAAAACTGGAACAAGATGAGAAAAACCCTACACATAAAACTGCTTAAATTTTATTTTTCCACATTTTTTTTAAAAATTTTATTGTTTTCTTTAAAAATCCGAAAGCAAATAAGACAAATCATTGTTAAGACAAATCATTAAAAAAAAATTTTTTTACGTAGGAAGAAAGTCGTATGACGTTTTTCTCTGGTATGATATTTGCTTTGGAATTTCAAATAAATAAATAAATAAATAGTCCTGTGTCAGGATTGTTT